TCCTGGAGTTCTAGTGACAAGCTTTGACCAGTGACGTTCAGCAATATCGAGTTTGAGATAGTCATCCACTACAAGCAACGGAAGATGGCAACATAATATCGTGAATCGATCAAAGTTATCAAGTAACAACTTTGAATGCAATTTCCGTGGTCTAGAATTTGAGCATTTGTAAGCGAGATCGAAGGTCCTAGGTTCCATTCCTAGTAAGGGGTTGTGGATGAGCAACATTGTGGAGTCCCACACCAAAAAGAAACAGCCATTCAGTACTACTAGGTTTTCAATTATGATTTAGTTAAAATTATTCGGTGATTTTAACTACGATAATAAATAATTATTGATAATACAAATCAGGTGTTTGGTTTTGTCTGATATAGCTCTACACAAACATAAAACATTCACAGCACGATGACAAAGTTGTAGGTGTTGAAATTATGATGATAATCAGCTTTTTAAAAAAAACTATTTCACTATTGCAAATTTAAGTACATATGACTTCAATGCACAAAATCTAAATGAACGGTTTAAGTTTTAAGGATGTGGAGCTGGCTATGCATCTGTAAGCTAATACTGTCATCAGTAACACTGTCTCAGTGACATGATAGTTATTATTAATAATTTTTTTCAATAATTCGAAAAGTAAGCCTACAGACAGAATATCACAGATTCAACTCGGGCTTCATGTGACTCTGTATGTATACCTCAGTAGTAACTTTAATCCTTAAAACAGTATGGTTTAGAGTCCAGTATGTAGATTTGCACTTGATTATTAAGTCACGCTATAATTCTTACAATATCCATTCTGATCATCTGTTGACATTTATCAATACTCACTTGTCTTTTACGTTCTCTTCTGTATTACAAAGGAGAATTGTAGAGAACTGAAAAGTAATTTTACAGCTATACGAAATTCTTCAGTGAGAATTAATTATACTTTATGCTAATTGCAATATAACTTTTTAAATAAGATCAAAGGAAATATTCAACGATTTTTTCTCAATATCTGATAGATGGCTGAAAAAAAAAATTAATAAATGAGCATATTATTACGGATTTCTACAACCCTTAAAACAAAAAAAGAGAAAGTTATGGTCAATTTTTCCGCCAGATACGTGATGGGCTAGACACGTATAGGGACATCATGTGTTCCTGCTCTCATGCCATCCCAAGGTCAAGTGGTAAATGAGGGATTATAAACAAGGATTGATTATTGGTGAAAGTAGGCCAGAGATGTAAAGAGCATTTTAGCCTACATATCCTGGTCTAGTTAGGAAAGATGGTTGTATGCAAACAAATATGTTGTGTACATCACAATTCGCCTAACCAATTAAACGCTTATTCATTTTAATTCCCCCTATTTACACAATGGGTTGCGTATACCGTATGAAGTGTATTATGTAAGCGAACCATAGAAAAAACAGAAATATCCTCTATGAACCTAATGTATTGATTTATGTAATATACTATTAAACGTGTACATGGTAATAGTAATATTAAGAGAAAATAATATCTTTCTGAAAAAAATAGACTCAATTTATCATGGGATTCCAATCCAAATGATCTGTTTTTCCAAGCATTTTAATCTACTCTTATCAAATGTGATTTATTAATCACACGTGCTCATTTTATTGGCAGATAATTATTGAGATCAGTTAAATATATACATAAATAATACCTAAAAAATTATTTCCAGTTTACTTAGATGATTACAGCTGACAAATTTAAGGTAGCGCAAAATTATAGATTATTAAAATAAACTGGTATTATGTTACATTTAAGCAATTAAATGTGATAAGTTTACAATCAAAAATATTTTCAGATTAAAAGATTATTAATTTCATTTTTAAGTACATAGGGTTTTATCCGGTAGTTAGTGACTCTATTTATCACAAATTTACAAGTATATATTTATATGTCATTGACAATTCAATGAACAGAGTTCTTTGTTCGTTTCATAAGCTCCTTTATCTTTAAACGTTTTATATGAGTTCATTTTATGATTTACTAAGAAATGAAAAACTGAAGTAAAAATATGCATTATGGATAAGCAAATTAGAGTCGAGAATACGATTCTACGGTTTTTGACTGAAATCGAAACTTCATGTATAGTGAGTGATCACTAGGGGTAAAGTTGTATACTGTTCAAAATGTTTAAAATGACAGTGAAAAATGGCTTTTTGATTAAAAAAAAATAATACCTTTAAACTAAATAAATATTTATTTCTGACTCTTTAGATGAATCTGCACAATCCCTAATTTTTATAAACCTGAAACAAACAGAAACCAAATGCAATTGCATTTTATGGAAGAACTCACCAGATAGCACTTCATATATTTTTCACAGAAATTCATTAACCCATATGACTATAGAATATTTTTACACTAGATCTAATGACACTTAGTTATGGCAACCCTAAACCCAAACCTCTAATTCTAATTCTCAATGGGAACAAAGTGAAAGCTCATAAAAATTTATCTAGATCTTTTTGAGGGTTCAAGAATATAAATAGGCTTTATTGTTTAAGAATAGTTCATATGATACTGTTTATCGGGTTAATAAGTAAAGTAATTCAGTAAAATCTGTTTACCTTTTACAATATTATTATTTACTATTCCATGAACTATCCATCTATAAAATTTGCTTTCTAATTGGCCACAATTCTTTCAAGCTTGTTTCAATACCATACTTTCGCTTAAACTGATTTCATTTATTCACACCTATACCTATTGTTAGATTAATGAGAATGATTAAAAATTCAGTAGATCATTTAGAACTATGCTGCAATGAATAAGGACATGAATTTTTATTGTTTATTGATCCAAAATATTTGGTTTATGACATTTTTTTTATATTGGCCTGATTGTAAACATGTATTTAATTCATGACCGTTTACCAGTTATAAATTATTAATGATCAAGTATTTGTCTACTACTCAATTTCATGTAATGAATGATCTTGTTATATACAGATTATGATTTTATATTTGTAATGACTTGTCGTCTTGTAATTGATATAGTTTATCATATAAGAATAGAGAGAATAATACAGAGTAATTATAAACTAGCTGTTTAAGTATGTTACACCATCTATTTGAAAACTGGATACCTCAACACGATCAACTAACTTTGTGCTTAGTTTTAAAACTTATAATTCTTAACAAGTTACTTCATTATGATCAGAAAAATGTTTTCTTTATGGGATGGAAATCGATATCTCATGGTTTGCAAAATAAAAAACACATTTATTAAACCAATAATATCTTGCCAAGAATGTGACAAAAACAATATTATTCAGTGAAATTAACCAAAATTATGCATACGTAAATAACTGATTGGTAATTTAAACTGCACAGAAATAATTAGATCAAGTGGATGGCATGTAGGAGTGTTTCACTGAAAGCATGAGTCAATCTGAGAAAAAAAAACCGTAAAAGTCTGAAGGTGCTAAATGACTGTTTCGTCCTAGTGTGATTACTCAGTCGAGCGCATCCAGGGTCCTTTTCCATTGAGAATCAGGACGATGATTAACCTCTACACCAGTGAAGCAGAATCAACTGTGTTCAAGTTTAACTATTTTTTTATTGTTGGAGCTACCGTTACTGGGATATTTAAAAGAAATAATAATAATAATAATAATAATAATGGTAACAAACATTTGGAATCTTGTCATGACGCTTAACTAAATGACTTCACACATGATGACAAGGAACGTGTGTTGAATTATTAATATATGGAATCAGTGAAGCCTAATGTACATCGTTTTCGAGTTATGAACTGAGAAATTGTTGTACATGTCAAAATCGCCATTATATTTTTATATGTGAAAATTTATATAAGCTAATATTTTTTATAATTTTCAACTGTTTTCGTTTGTTATGACAGCTAGATTTGAAATAAATAAATAATAAGTCTCAATGAGTCAAGAAATAGTATTGTCCATTAGAATGAATATGATGGTTACGCTCTGGATACTGAAAATGTGATGCTGTTGAGTGACAGATGTAATTCAGAAATCTGTGAATTTCCTAAATCCATTGGATTTCTTTTTTTTTGCAGTTCAATCTATTGACAATTTTTTCATAGTCAATAAAATGATACAAACAGACAATTGAAAGTTAGAATCATCCTTGTGATGAATACGTTTCACACTGACGACAGATCAGTATTATTATTACGAAATCTAAGCAGAATAGTAAGAACAAACCACTGTATTTACATTTAAGTACAGTTCTTCTCTCAGTGTAGTGAAATTTAAACAATGGTGCAATAATAATATTTCAACAAGAAAATCGAGACAAATCATCAGATAAATTTTACAACTGCCTATCGGATGTTGCAGTAAAGTGTACATCAACCTAAACCGTAAATTGTTGATGTCAACTGAAAAACCAGCAATGACTAGGAAAGTAAAAGAACATCTTCCAACCAGTTAGAACCCATTACCTGCCGTTTATGTACGTAACAGGGTTTTTGAAAAACAGCGATGAAATGCAGTGTTGTTACAAAACTGCAATATGACTAACTCGGTATATTGATTGGTTGTCATATTAAGGAGCACATATCAACAATAAAATTATGTTCAGACAAAACACAGAGTGGAAAGAAGTCATTTTCAACACGAAGTTAGTGCATTTTGTGTGTTGCATCCACTTTTTTGTCTTTCTTTACTGACCAAAGTTGTCTAGAAATATCGCTATGTTTAAAATTATCCTCAATCTGCAAAATCTGTATAATAACTACGGTACGTTAATCGATTGCAACAGTGGCGTCCTCATAGTAAGAAAAACTAACCAAAATATTTCATTCCTATTTTCCATCAAAGTTGAAGCAATAGAAAAATTCACCATCTGTCTGTTCTAATTAAATCATTCCGTTAATGTCTCCAAATTTCACTTATTGAATACGTGTGATTGATTACCAATGGTGTTATTGCTATTTCGTAATTAGAAACCCAACAAAGATCGACAGGAATGTTCCAAAAAGAAAACAGTATCGAACAATTTACACAATATTTCTTCATTTTTTTTCCATAAACAATCAAGTTAAATAAGGTAAAATGCAGCATGTTGACATCAAAACATCTGGTATAGAAAAAAACATTGTCAAGTAGTGTATATATGTATATATATAATAAATATCTGCCTATAATATGCAAATAAGGTACTTTAAAATCGTCCTCAAAGAGAATGTATGAGGGAGCCTCATTTCATTATTCAATTATCAAGTACAATCTTATTGTAATGTAATACCACAAAGTGAATTAGAAAAAATTTTTTCAAAGAAAACAACAGTAATAAATTTATCTAACCATGATTTAATATGGTTTGCCTGTATACCTAAGAGGAAAATAGTATGAAATCACACCAAAAGACAACTACAGATATACTGCGCACATAGTTAAACAAACAGTCGTCAGATAAACAGTGACAATGTAAAATAGTATAGCATAGCAATATGAGTCTATGGCTGGACACAAATGAAGACAATGGAACAATGTAGCAATGTCATCAGAACTTTCTTAACAGAACAAACACCGTAGATAAGAATATCAACACTCTGAAGTATGTATGGTAATAAAATAATTCTAACATTAAAAAGTAATACTAGTTATGGTAATAATAGAAATTAAGATATATATATCTGAGAAGATTTGTTTTCAGTTGTTTTCTTTTATTCCTAGAAAAATCGCTATCTGTCATCTACATACATTTTCACTATCTGGTGTTGTTTGAAATGGAAACAAAATTTAAAAAAAAAAAAAAACATAATAGGCGTACAAACTTAAAGAAGTGTGCCAGTAATAGTAATAACAGTAGATCTTTCTTTGAAATTTGAATGTGTTAACTTCTCCTATGATTACGAACAGATGAATTTTTAAAAATGTACATAAACGTGTATCTGTATTCAAATCTCTGTTGAACATGATTTTAAATTGAATGGATGGTCAGATTATTTATGAAAGTAAACAGTGTTAATCAATCAGTAAGAAATATTTAATAATAACCGGTTTTCTTTATTTCTTGAAAAATATTCCTTCATTGTTGTCATAAGAGAAAAGAGAGTTTCATAAAAACAGATACACAGAAGCGTTTTTATGTAACTAGTAATGGTTAGCGATAAGCAGTCGAAAAGTCTGACATCGGTTTATGATAGTGGAGTAAAACAATAAGAGACAGTACTTATTAGAGTTATTACCATGATGATGATAAGCATGAAGTTTGTAAATATATTTTCATATGGATACTTGTGTGAAGAAATAAAGACGAGAATAACATTAGCAAAAGAAAAAGTCACATATTGATCATACAAAATAATAATTTTACATTTATATTTACACGTAGAGTAGGAAAAAAATATGACTTAGGCGGAAATGAAAGCTGCAGTCATGTTGAAATAGGTCCGACTTGTGGGATGATGAAATCAACACCTACAGCAACACCGATAAGAAAACATTAGTATGCGTATAAGAAGTATGTTTCTTCCTATATGTCAATAAAATTAAACGTGTGTACTGATGATGGCGATGACAATGAGTATAAGAATGAGGAAAAGATAAATATCGAACATCATTGACGGAGTTTCCCGAGAAACAAGTGCGAACGGGTGTGGTTGAGTACCGCAACTGATACACAAATTTTAGCATGAGAACCTTCTCACTATGTCTCAAAGATCAATCCCCAATCTGTATGACAAAAAATATTGATATTTTCGAGAAATAACAATGAGGTGATCATTATTAACATTTATAGCACCATGTTCAGAAATTCACTGTTCAATTAATTGTTGAATTTTCAGCAGCTAAACGATCAGCTCGTTGTTTCACACTTTGTTTTAATGCTAATAAAAATGGTGATAGATTTTTATCAGAATCATTATCAATCACTTCATCAGTGCTATTATTATTATTATTATTAACAGTAGTACTACTTGCAGAAGTACTACCAAAATTAGTAGTTCGATTAGGAGGACAGTCTGATCCAGTGCAGTATTGTTCCGTAAACATAGAAGAAGGCGGTGGTGGAGGCAGATCGAATTCATCAGGTTTTATGCATTCCTTGTGAGATATATTGTTCGTTGTAAAATTCGACTTTGATTTTGAAACGTTCACATTGTTTGATCGTGCAGCAAGTTGTTGCAACTGTGAGGATAATTCAGACATAAGATTAGCAGTTTCTATAGAGACTAAATCAGCTGCCGAATTTCTATCGTAATCTGAAAAAAATTGAACAGAAATTAAATTTTTATGAGTTTAACGATTAGTTGATAGTTAATTTACGAAGAAAAATATCAAGTATACTAAAAATTAATGAATTCTAGAGATATCTGGATTATTAGTAATGATCAACTCGTCAACTGTGGTGTGAGCTACTTATAAGTAGTATATGACGTGAGTGTAAACGTAATGTCTGGCAGCAGAAGATGGGGGAAGATCAAGAAAGGAAGAGTTAGAAAACAATGGAATTTGTATGAAACGCATGAACAGTGACATTGGATTGATGTGTTGCAACAGGAACAGTCCAGTTCGATATGATGAACTGACATTTTGCAAATTGTCGATTTACGATATGGTTTTCCGATTTGACTGAGTAACTCTGTAATTTTTGCTAAATACAATCCGGTTGCCCTCACCTGCGTTCTCCTTCACTACACAACTACCTTGGAAATTGAAATTATTACCAGACCTAGACATGAATTTTAAACAATTCATTGTTTATGCATCATTTCTTCCCAGCTTTATTTTATTCATAATATAGTGTAACTATCATAATTTAGATTTCATCAATTTAAACAGTTGCATTGTTCAAATGAATAAAATCAAGAACAAACCAAAATGATTGTAGGGACAAATCAAATTCTCTTTTTACCAAGGTGATAAAAAAGTTCAGCGGTAACTACAAATTATCGTCAAGATGTTTATGAAGAAGTAGTGAAAATATGACATTGTTTTTATTAGTTTAGAGGAATAAGCACTACCTGATTACAGTAGGTGTGATATTCATAATGAAAACTAGTGACTGTCTAACCATAGCCTAGTTCCTACTTAGTGATCAATAAATTGTTAATAGTTAAGTGCCATCTTAAAATTTTAACAGATCGATCTTATGTTATTCTTTTAAATTGTGACGCCTAATAGAAAATAGAGTGATGTCTTATTGTTTTGAACTCAGCACGATATATTTATTGTTTGAACAGCTGGATACTAGTGACATTGATCCTAACATTCAGGAAGTAGCTAAAAGCCAAGTATACGAATTTCCATTCGGTGTATGAGTTACCTTCGTGGACCAATACTCTCATACTCGATTTAACGTTTTCTTTTTCTTATATTTTCCTATCAAAATATTTAACAACCTTCGGACGGTTCTATCTGAGTGCGCTTTGGCTTAGATTTCAAGAATTTATCATCTATAGTTCATGGTTTATGATTAACTAATTAATCCAAAGAAAAATCCACACAAATCACCAAGACGTATAAAACTTTACCGGAAGGTTTTGAACAAGTCGCTTCTCCAAGTGATGGATGAGGTGTTGACGAATTATTTGACGATACTGGTGAGAATATAGGTAAGGGAGGTGGAGGTGGTGGTGGTGGTGGTGGCGGCGGTGGAGGAGGAGGATTTGGAGCCTTTTCGTTTGAAATGGCTTTCGCTTCACAGACAGTTTGAGGATTCATGTTAGCTTGATTGATATTCATACAAACTTGATTACTAGCCAATGTTGATTGTCCTAAAAGGTTGAACACTTGACTTGAAGTAGTAGGGCATTGTGATTGGTTTATGATCACAGGGTTTGCATAGTGTGATTTATTCTAAGAATAAATGACATAACATATAAAAATAAAAAAAATCACTTGGTTAGTCAAGAAAAAAGAAAATCAGATACAATTATCCAGTCTATCTACAGAAAATGGATTGTTTGCAAAAATATTATTGGATGGTGGTGACTAAATAAAAAGTGAATATGAAACTGAAATCTTTATCTATTGACTGAATTGACATGTTTTTACATTTGGATAAAATTTACAAATAATCAAATTTTCATGGTCCTTGTAAAGCTTTTGATTGAAATGCATAAAAGTTTAGCCGAGTCAGTCATGAATTTCAACAATATTGAGGTCATTATTTAATTTTATCACAATTTGTGTATTAGTTTCAGTCAGTATAATAAATCAGATAAGGCTAGGCTAGCTGGTCGTGACATTGTAGAGCATTTGCCTTTGAATATTCAATACATGTGCGATACATACCGTTTTTACACTCAATTAGTGAGAAACAAGAGTATAGTTTTCATTGAGAATTTCATTTCTAACCCTAGTTTTCAATTGATTTACTTTCTCGATCTGGAAAGTTGGAATGTGCTACTGTAGCATTTTAACAAAAGAACATAGTACATAGATTTAGTTGAGTAAAATCCAGTCACCAAAGAAAATAATTTATTGACTTAAATAATAATAATAATAATAATAATAATAGTGGAAGCAGTTCAGTTAAAAAAAGTAAGAACAGAAAGGATTTGTTCAGTTAAAGAAGTCTTTCTCACTCATAGAAAACACACTACCAATCCTTTAAAATATTAACGCAGGGTTATCAGCAATCATTCGGAGGAAACGATAATCAAAAACCGAGTCACTTGACATTCTCAACTGGGAGAGACTCAGTTTCACAAGGATTGGGGAAAACAGTTCTCATCGATGCATCACGAAGTGCCAAAAATGGCCCACCAAAACAGGCATGAGCCACACTAGCTTTGATGAAGCGTGAAACGATCTCATCACTCACGCCGCAACCAATATTTACACAGCTACCTAGCTATATCAAATTTTCACTTACTTCCGCTCACTTCCAAGAGTGGGTTCAGGTTCAGGGTCCTGCGAGTCATGTAAAATTATTTTGCGCTTGGGTGAAAATATCATACTGTAGGTCGAGAAATCTTTCCGTAGATAACAGATCCACACTATTATTTTCTACATCCATCGGAGCTGTTTCTAGAAAGTCATTAATGGCAAAATTGAAGAGGAATAGTGAGAACGGGCAATCCTACTTAAGCTCACTGCTTCAAAAAAACAATGGAGAGCCGCGGTTTTATGACCTCTCTCTGCCTGAGGCGTTTGTAAGTATGGCTTTAGCGATGTCAATAAACTTCTAAGGCAAACCTTCTCGAAAAGACGATCCCAGAGAACAATCCTGTCTGACGAATTGAAGGAGGTTCCGATGTCAAGAAACAAAACGGTTGTTGGCCTGCAATAAGTTTGCTGGTGGCGAACGGTGAAGATCTGACCAATACATCCTCAACCAGGACAATAACCAGTTTGCTTCTCACGAGTCAATCTTTCACAAGTTTTGAACAATCTGTCAACATTTTGGACTTGGTCGGAAGTAGATTTATCCCCTGATAGTTTTTGTATATGTTACATGAACCTTTCTCAAAGGTAGGGACAACTATGGACTCGTTTCAGTATGTTGGAACGCTCGTTAATTGCCAAATATTGCCAAACATCTCGGTAAATTCCATAACCAGAAGGTGATCATCATCTTTAGGAAGGATCGAAAGTAAGTCATTTAGCCTGATGAGTCGTAGTACATCACGGGTTAAAGTTCCTTGAGAACTCCTGTGTCGTTCAGTGTATTAATCGTCACTGGCCATGGAGGACAGAACAGACTGACTTATGTTGCTAGGGCAGCCGACCAGCTGAACTATCACTCAAAAAAACTCCGTCTATCGTCCGGCAGATGTTATTGACTAGTGCTTCATTAGCCTTACAGTCTGTTTCACTCAAACTAGACTTCTTACTGCCAGTGGCTCGGATGATTTGGAAGAAATTCTGGCAGTTACCAGATGCAGCTGCTGCTTCCGACTTATTAGCATGCTCCGACTACCATGCTTCTCAGTCCTTATGCAAAGACTGTTTAGAACGAAAACTAATAATAGATTATGAACACTGGACGAACATATTATTAAATGTTTTGTATAATCATTCCGAATCTTCAATGTCTCATTAGATAAGTTATTAGGAGAAAAATTGTGATACGACTTGAGAGAATAAACGCTAAACAGTAGCATCTTTCAGTGGTCAGCATCAATTCACTCATTTTTTCACAAATAGCCTCAAGTAGAACTGAGATGGATGTTGAGACTGGTGGTCACGTCCTGACTTCATTGATATAATTAGGTCAGTACTCAGGACAGGACATTGATTATGACTTGGTGATTAATCAATTAAAAAAAACAATATAATGTGCTTTGTAAATTTTCACTCATTCATCAACAGATTTGTAGCTTATCAAATGAATTAATTCAACAACAAAACTATTCACTTTCCATAATGTCATAATCTGTGCAGAATACTTAAGAACAAGTATTAATGACGAGACAGTTGCTTTCAATGACTTTATCGCCAAGGCAATTACAGTTAGAAAAGTGTAATTATTGTGTTAAAATAATTTTTTTCAAAAGAATATACATTAAGAACTGAATTACACATCGTCCAGTATTAGAATAATTTAATTTCTGCATCAGTTCAAAATGTGTTATTTCTAAGTTTAAAACGCAAGTCATTTTCATTAAAATTTATTCAATATTTTTATCAAAACAAACTCTAACTAACCTCTAATATTTGTTGTTCATTGTTGCTCATTGAGTTCGGGTTTGATGAAAATGATCTTCGAGTCTCACTGTTATTAGTATTATTATTTGCATTGGCATTATAACTTGTTAACGCTGGGCTACCATTTGAACTAGGCAATGAATCATTTGTTGTTGAACTAGCCATTGTAAGTGATGAACCACGACTGGATCCTAAAATGATCGATTTATTTTTGTTGAAGAAGTAAACAAGAGAAGAAGTAGAAAAGGGAAATTAAATAACAAGAATGTATATAGTAAGAAACTTCTTTTTCATATTTGTTGTAAAATCGATTAACAAGCATTAGGATTTGGTTGAAAACTTAAAACAATAAAGTAAAAACACTACAAGTGTAATTTCCGAGTGTATTTTCTAATGTAAACGTTACGGACACACACACACACACACGCACACCAATACACCAAGAGAATGTGAATAATGCGAAAAAATATTGTGCCAAATTAATATAATATTTTACGATATGAATAGTACTGTCTATATCTCATAAAATACAAGCAAGCTATGGATGCTGTTAAATCGATAATTTACCAAGCAATACAAAATACTGATAGAGAGCACAACCAGGTGTACCAAGTCATTGCGTACATAACTTTCACGTGTAATCAATTATTATACGAAGAATAATCATCGATATATCAGTACAGAAATTGAATGGATGATAATACTCAGGATTAATTTATAACCTATTACTACACATAACTTTATTGTATAATCACTAAGTGAACAGGTGGGTCATACTTAGTGGATTTGAGAGCTGTAGAATTATACATATAACTATATTTTGTATAATAAGCTCTGAGTTGCATGTATATTACGCACTATTGAAATGTAAGTGCTGTGTGATTTTAATTAAGAGTTGTATGTTCAGGACTTCATTTTCTAACTATACACATAATAGATAAGAAATGTGACTATTAGAAGAACAGTTTAACGAAAACTAGATTTTTTTGCCTAAAAGCAAAATGACAAACCATAAAACAGTTTAATTGTGAGGATAAATAAGTCAAGAATAAGGAAGAAAAAGTGTTTATAATAATGATATTGCGGTAAGCAATAAATTCCTCATTGAATAGTACACACTTTTAGAAAGTATTTAAATGACGATCCAACTCGTGACTATCACCGATAATTCTAGCTACTACCAGTATGTAACATTCATACTTCTTCGTTCTATGTAATTAATGCAAAAAAGGATAGTAAATCATACAAACACGTAACTCTAAAAAAATAAAGCAGTTTTCAAAGAAAAAGGCTTCATTAATCAGGCACCGAACGGCTCCAAATTAGTTAAAGATGTCAATTAAGCTTGTTTTTTTTCAAGAAAAGATAAGAACATATCACATGATGTTTTATTTTTACTTTACACAGTTACGAATTCATATAAGTAAATTCGATTCTATTAGATATTAGTACACAAAGAATTATTATTCACTGACAATCAAATGCTTCTTTTTAACATTCGGTAAGAAAAGTGTAACACTTGCATAAACAAACGGAAATGAATTTCTTAAATGTTGTAATACAACATTTTCAACTCAGAAGAAAAAAATAGAGGCACGACTCATCGATTGCCCAGATTAATTCAATAATTGTTATAGATGCATAGAAAGAATACTACTACTACTACTACTACTACTACTGTAGTGAACGAGAACACAGGTGGGGCAACCCGATTGTATTTAATGAAAATTACAGAGTTACTCAGTCAAATCGGAAAACCCTATCGTTAATTTGCAAAATATCAGTTCATCATATCGAACTGGACTGTTCCTGTTGCAACACATCAATCCATTGTCACTATTCATGCGTTTCATACAAATTCCATTGTTTTCTAACTCTTCCTTTCTTGATCTTCCCCCATCTTCTGCTGCCAGACATTACGTTTACACTCACGTCATATACTACTTATAAGTAGCTCGCACCACACTACTACTACTACTACTACTACTACTACTACTAGAGTTATAAACGTGCTCATGATCCAAAAGCAAAACAATATTGATTCGTTTTATGTGTTGTTCTAAAAATATATCTGTTCGAATCAACAAACATTCTACTCATTAACACTTAATTATATTAAATTTGAAACTGTCAAAACGAAAGATATTTTTTGATTAAAAATTAGAAAGCCTGAAAATAGTAACTAATAATATCCAAAGGGAAATGAAAAACTATACAACATTCCATGTTAAATCACGAGTAGATAGTAGATAACAATAAATTATTTGAAGTTCGAGAAATTTGTTAACTACAAACGTTTTAAGTTCTTTTAAAAATAGAACCCTGGATTTGGAATTCACCTATATTTAGTATGATTAATTGACAGTACAATTGAAAATTCAGTTTATATAGTTAAACACGGTATTCATTGAAAACTATGGAGAGGGATCTGAAAAGGATGGTAGATTAGTGTTTTTGAGCAATTGTTCCTCATCGTTAACATGTATGCATGACTTCGTTAGTAACTCAACCCAAGAATTTTAGACTTACTAAACTAGCAGGCCAAAATACCTAGTAATTCAGATATTTAACTTCAGTCGATGCGTGATATAGCATGATCATCAACCAATTCCCTGTGTTGTTTAAAATACGAGTGAATTCATACAACCATTTTAAAAAATCACAAAAGGTTGATTTGTTGTAGTATATGTTTATTCTTAGTAGAGTAAATAATGTGCATTAAATATTCCTAAAATGATTATTATTCTATAGCTCTGGATATTAATAATAATGATAATAATAATAATAATAATAATAATAATAATAATAATAATAATAATAATGGTATTTGGAAATTTTATTCATCAGGGGAAAAGTGTGGATGTTTTATTTTTACACTGGTTACAAAACTCTCACCAGTATACCAACATAAATCTCTGGACAAGACTAAACCTCTGTCGTATTCACTATACAACGAATAAGTTACGAATAAAACCATTCGCCTTTTTTGACCGTAATTAGTAGACAAAAGAATCTTCAGTCAGTCAGTCAGATGCAACGTAAAACTTCACACGTCAGTACATCAGATCATGTTGCCATACCACACAAAAGAATCTTAAATTACAGCAATGACAGTAATAAGTATAAACCCAAAAAAACTCGTAAAAACAAATCATCCTATAAAACTGTCACATTTTTTAGCGCAGTGAACAAAGAGAAAATATTAGTATGAAAATGAAATGTGATTTGTGAAGTAGAAAAATTCAGGAAAAATATGAAGTAACCAAAACTGATAAAAATAAACAAAATGAAACGCTTACATTCCACTTCAAGGTAAACAATAACAATAAGATTTATTGATTGATTTAGTCTTCTATATGAGCTTAAGTTTGTCATTGTAAATATGTCGATTTCCATGAGATTAGATAATTATCACTGAATAACTACTGTGTTAATATCTAATATAGTGATAATCACATAAGTATTTTTGCATCGTTTTACAGAATAAGTAATGACTATGAAATTGTTGATATACTTGTTTTGAAAAGGAATATGTCAATCAAAACTGAAAAGTGGCTGTCAATAACAATGAAGAGAATAAAATATAGATAACAGAAACAAATAAAGCAATGAAACACACTAACAACCAGCAGCATAGACCTCAAACAATCAACGCATAGTTTTGATAAATTCGCCAATGTGATTTTGTGAATGTAAATGAATCATAAAAATTTAGTAAACACAGAGAAAATGGGAATGTGAAAAACAATAAACCAACAATGTTACGTAATGTACTGCAGTAATGCTTACGTAAAGAGCGAAAGGATAATTATATGAAAAAGGTAACAAGTAAGGAGTATGGAATTTCAACTGGTAATTCTATCTCTCTGTGCTAATATGGTATCACAACTTGAATTGACGTACGCATATACCAAATTCTAGGTTTTTGATGACTGACTGATTTGTGATGTGCGTGTCCGTTATATATATATATATATATATATATATATATATATATATATATATATATATATATATATAATATCAAGATCACGCAAAAACTTATAAATACCCATATTTTATTTAGTCAAACTAACTTCCAAAGTCCAGCTCTTGTTCATTCTTTCTTCCTTTATAATTTTGATAAGGGCTTAATTGAAAGAATTTACTAGGAACTAGGAAGTGGCCAGAATGCCAGTTTCAAGTTTTGAAGTGTTAGACTTTCGTCAAATTCATTTTGACGTAACATCCCACTCCCTGTTTATGTAAATGTAATTTTAACTAAAGAGATTTCACAAGAAGAGAACTGAAACATCTTAAACTCTATACATTACAACTATTCTCAGTAATATCACTGTCAAATAATTAGTATAGATATTTTTTGAGAATAACTTATGTTACAAACTCACTGACATCCAAAGAACATTGGACAGTTGTTTCGTTTCAAATTCGCATTTTTCAGAACTGCTTACTTACAGCCCTAACATTAGATGGCAATAGCATTATACTGTCAGTTTGTCAATATTGGAAATTCTGTCAAGGTCTACAATTCTGTAGTCTAAAAGTATCATGTACTTCCTTAGTTCAAAAATGCATGGATTCAGGAGGAGTGATTATTGTTGAAACGTAGTCTAGTATTCTCTAGTTTTCGATGGTAATCTAGCTTCATTAAATCTAGAAAAAAATACTTCGTTATATATATACGAAAGGAATACACCAATAAATTTATGCTGTGTAGTGAATTAATGGACATTTTACCAAACCTACATACTTTCCTGTAATGATCGACGCAGTTTGTTTCACACTTTAATTTCATTAGCCTTTATGCACCCCCCCCACCTCGTAAAGATTTTACATAAGGATGGAAATCCCGTTTTTAAAACATTTAAAGCTTCACAACAGCACAAAACCGAAATAATCGATATTACCACTGATCAATAAAGATATATATATATATATATATATATATATATATATCACAGGTGGGATGAAATTCCTGAAACAATGGTATCGTCTTATACGCTATTAGAAGGGAATCGGAAATAAATCATGAGTATCTATTCAGATGAAAAGCCATAAATTATGGCATTATTCAATGTGAACCGTCGTACAATGATTTCTTATTTAACAAGAAGAAGAAATTATTCAAATTCCATTAAATCTTCAATGCGTGTGTGTAGATTCACAATATATTTATTGATTCATCATGATCTGTTGTGTAATGCTTTTCGAATAATTAACAGTTGATCATCTTTACAGAAATTATTTTTGAGAAGAAAGTGCAATAACCCATAAAAATAATGAGAAGAAAGTGGGAATGAACCGAGAACGAATATTAAGTGTCCTGGTTATAGTATGCCTACAGATATACAGAATTAATCCATCATATATATATATATATATATATATATATATATCTTCGAACCGTAATCTCCATTACTACTGATACTTCTACTACCTGCGCTACTACGGGATTTGAATTGACAATTCCATCTCTCTACGTTAATGTGGTTCTGGCAACTTGAATTGATGTAGGAACGTATAAAGTTCTACTTTGTAGCTGACTGATATGTATCTATACATATTTAAATAAAAGTTACTATAAGTGTAAAAATTTATACTCTAAAACTTTTTTCTGAGTTTAATAGACATTATGATATAGGATAGAACAATATTAATAGTGATTTTAATGATTTTACCATAAGCTTTAAAAACTGATAGCCAAGAGAGACAGAGAGAGAGAGAGAGAGTAAATGAAATTTATCTCACATGATGAAACAAATTTTATCATTTTCAATCTTTTAATCAATCAATAAATTGATTATATACATACACATATATATGTTCTCATAGGTTGCATTAGATCGAATTCCAAGTTTAATTATTTAAACTAGATTTGCGTAATGACATTCTCAAACTACATGTTATGTAATAAACTTACGTTTTAATGAATATAACTCACACTAGGTAATGTTATTTCTATAATGGGTAAAACTAAGTTAGTATAATATATTATGTAATACTAGTGAATGTCGAAAAAATTAATAAACACTAGAGTAAGCGCGCAATACATTTGTGTATTGATATAAGTGTAAAAAAAAAGAAAATCAACATTGAACAGTGAAGTGCATTCAACAAAACAAAGCAAATTTAAAATAATTAAGATGAAGAATTATCAACAAGTGAATAAAATTACAGAGGATATGTAAGAGGTCAAAGTTACTAACTTTTCCCAGAAAAAAAACTACATTATATTACACTTTTAAATGACTATTCACCATTAGTAACCATTGTTAACAAATTAATATAGTAAACCAAAGAAAAACGATGGAAACTATATATTTTACCATTGGAAAATGGTGTGCACACAAGTGAAGCAATACAAACAGATTTCAATGTGTAATTAGTGTAGTCAGTTAAATGTAAATATGAAATAAAGAGTTATTGCAATTGAAATGAAGTATACTATCCTATCTCCTATTCACAAGCATAATAAAAAAAAACGTTTCAATGATTTGACCGGGTAATTACCTTCATATGAATAATTATCATTCTCATAGTCGTAAATTTTACATGATGATGATGATGATGATGGATGAGGTTTATTTAAATCACATGGCATACTAACACCAGACGTTCTTGTTAAACAACCATGTGAACTTAAAGTACTACAAGTTCGAGGTGGTGGACATGGACGTGACATCTGCGATGGTGTTTTTCGATTTACATAACACTGACTTATTGCATGATGATGCTTTAAATGAACAGGTTTCGGTAGTATTGGCGGTGGTGGAGATTTATTGTTAGTAGGAGAAGAAAATGAATAATTGGCTTGGTTAGATGAGGTTTGTTGTATAACCAAACTATGATTAATAGGTGAATGACAATTATCAACCGTAGTCCCATGTACCTTTTCCACAATGGATTCAGAAGAGTTAGGATCAAGTGAATGTTGATGAGGATTTTCTTCACACGGTAATAATTTCTTTTGAGTATACAACTGTGGTGTATAGAAATCTTGCTTACAGTCTACTTTTTCAGTAGACTCGAACACATCTTCATCATGATGATAGTGATGACAGTTAGATAAAGAATTCTGATCGCAGAATGAACTACATTTTGATACAGCATTACCAATACAGAAACAACTATTGTTAACTGATGAACTGTTAGTTAGTCTCGATAAGAATTTCTTATGACTAGGTAATGTTCCAGTTAGTTGATGATGTAAACATTTCGGAAACATTCTATTTAAGGTCATAGTATGAATGTTATTAACTGATCAATGATAAGGTTTATACCATATATAAACATATTTATTGATTAAGTGATGATTTCAATTAAAAGTCAGTGAATCAAGCACAAACAAACATAGTAAGATGATTTAAAATTAAAAAAAAATCAATTCATTTGCACCCACAGTATATCAAGAAAGAAAAAAAAACAAGAATACAAACCCAGCGTGGAGAGGAGGAGGAGGAGGGATATGAAAACAAGACAAAACAATAATGAACAATAGTAGTTATATGATGCAAACAAATTAATTCTACATTATTTCTTACAAATTAGAAGATTAACAAGAATTGTTTAACAAGTTTTTTTTCTTTGGTTAATGTTACTACTGAATATGGTTTCTTATACAAATCCATGTTAATTGAAGAGAACAAGTTATGTAATCACGGGAATAAAATTCTTAAGTCAAACTAACAAACAACATGTTTAACATCAAATTGACAAATCCTATCAATTTTTCACCCGTTACTTTTTCAAATAAAATATTAATTGAATCTATAGAAGCTAAGGAATTCTGCGTCAACAGTGTTAGATCAACAATTGATTCCGAATCATTTTCCGTATATTCATTTGAACAAGAATATTATTTTTTAATTAACATGAATCAAATGATTATTGACAGTATAAGAATTGATGAATGGATATTTTGGTTACATTTTCCGATTTATTTAGTTTCATGTAGTCATTCACTAGAGAGGATTTATCACTATCAAGTTGGTGCCTTTTATTATGCATCTATGTTGGTTAGATATTGAATATGGTAGAATATCATTAATTTAAAATACAATCAAAAATCGATTATGATACTATCGATATTGATGATAATCAGTTTATTTATGAAGATTCAGTAAGGGCGAAATGATGTAGATCTTTCTGATTTCCAAGTAATTGACAGCATACAGACTTGATGATTTACCAGTTGGATTTATTTAATCAGTTAGTCAATGAGTAGTAGATAACCATTCAAAACAATCAATTTAGTTATTTAGTCTAGTAAATGAACTACAAGTAAGTACAATTTTAGAATGTGTTTTGATCAGATTTGGACAGTAACAAGTCAACATATTTTCTTACTTTACACAATACTACATGCAAAATAAAATAACACAAAACTCTAACTACACCTGTATAAATATTTAAAGGAAAACTCCACTAATCAAATAATATTACCTGGCATAATTTGATCAAGTTCATCTATTTCCATACTGAACGGATCTGATTCACTTCTTTGATACAAATGTTTACCATTATTATCAACAGCAAGGATAGAAGAGTTAACAGTCGAAGTGACGACATTAGACATTGAAACAGTATTTAAACAAGTTTTTGAACTATGACATGAATTAGATAAATTTTTACAATTAGCTAATTTTTCAAGTTGACATTGTAATATTGTTGAAGGATTAGCATATTTTGCTTCTTCATCATAATGTATTTGATTAACAATTGAATCAGTTAAATCAAGTTTATTTAAACTACTTGAAACAGACCAATTACAATTATTTATATTACTAGTAGTAGTAGTAGTAGTATTCGATAAAACTGTTGTTGTTGTATGATGAGTTTGTTGTGAATTCGTAGATATTGAATAACTATTTGATGATTGATTATGAATAGCTTGTTGTTGTTGTTGTTGATGTTGACTATTGATCATATCAGTTTTAGAGAAACGAAGTTTATCTAATGCATTATCGACATTTTCATATGAATGAACAATTGGTAATTGTGACATGGAAAATTTACGTTGTGCTGCATGTGCCAATTGAATGAGATTTGTATAGACTGGTGGTGGTACAGCTTGTTTCGGGTAGAGTACAGTGGACGAATCAACACCACTATCTTTGGAAGAAGCTTTACCGACTTAATTTATTATTTTTTTGAAACGAAAACAGAATAAAAAGTGAAAGTGAAAATACACAGAAAGAAAAATAAAACACAACAACTACTTCTAGATGTAATCAAGAGAACAAAAAAAAATAGGAATACACATCGATGAGTGAGCATAAATTGTAAACGAATAATAAGACGGGTGTAAACAAATTACGGAAAGAAAATTAACAAGATGAGGAGTTTATTAACTTTATGGTTTACAGATCAATCATTTTGAACCATATCAAATAATGTCCCACTTTCCAAACACATTTGATTTACTATACGAACTAAAAATGGCTATTTTGAAAACCATAACGTGGTCCATGTCAGTTATCATTATTAACTGAATGGATTAGTACGATGTATAGGTTTATTCATTCTCAGACAAGTACGAACCTGTCATTTAAATGCAAGGAACTGAACACGTAAACGATGATAACGCAGAACGTGGTAGAATAGCACGTCAGCTTATTTCCAGTCAGTATTAATCAAAGGAGAATATGGTACATATATGGATATCCTAAGGTCTTACACGAAATTAGCAAGATTAGATTAAATTAACCAGGTGAGAAATAAAGGAGTTGAAATGTAGTAGTGGTAATAATGACAATGATAAAGACTAAATATTGAGAATGTAGTCTAAAAAGACAGAATGAAAAATTGTGCACGAAGAAATGCTAAGATTCAACAAATACTTCGCGACAGAGTTGATGGTTCTGAGCCAATAATCAAAACCCCACATTCTTCATATGCTATATTTCACAGTCACAGAGTGATATAGAAAGGACTAGTGTGTGATACATGAACTTTTTCGTTGGTATATAGACATCACACCCACAATGAAAGTGATATGAATCGGCAAAGGTCAAACGAATTTCTTAAACTTGTGTTCAGGTTTCGTCGCACACCAAACCATTAGGATGAATGAAAATTCTGGGGTATCTGCATTGGTCAACACTCCCGACTACTTCACTCTCTATGAATAGTTCCCAATGACCCTGGTACACTCTAGGGTGGGGAGAGTTCACTCTCTTTTTCCAAATGCTCTCAAATGGCTATGAGTACATGGCCTCTGACAGAGAAGTTCTTATTACTACCTTCTCGTTGCAACGGTGTTGTTTACGAAATTGAGAGGACGAAAAGCGCATGTCCGACGCTCTAAACGGGTTGGTGTGCATGGAGGATACAGTTAAGGGAGTTTGAAAAAACTGGTTCCAAACCAATGGTGCACATGCGCTTCATTACGTTGTGGGTTAGATATCTAGGTCAAACGCTCAGAGGGAGCCCTCAAAGCAGTATTCCAGCCAACACAAATCAGTGAATTTGTGTGGTGCCCAAATAATTAGGTGCCCTATGTTACCAATCATTGCGTTTAGATAAAAAGTCACTGCAAACGATGAAAACTGTTTGAAATGACCTAGATCTGATTCCCATCCAAGAGCTAATATTCCATTCAGTTAAGTCACCAGATTTAGCATGTTATTCAGAAAGACACCATATACAGGTTAATCAGAGGTTTCCGATTTCTGTACTATATTAATGGTTGGGAAAGCGAATTTTCTGTCCATGAAGAGTGATTATAACTGAATGACCTTCAAGTGAACAGTTCATAAAGTGTTCAGATTGTTACTACGCCACTTGTTTGATATAAACTTTTGGTTATGGACATGTAAATCGAAAAGATATAATTGCAGGTTTTAAATAATGGGTTACAGGCTCGAGTCGAATTTCATCTACTTCTGCTTAAGTAACCGGGTAGTATCTCTAGTCTTTATATAAATGATGTCCATGATGGCAAACGATGTGAAAATTTATACAATTACCAATTTTTGTAACATTACGAAAAGTTCGGTAAGTAATTTGTTTATGATTGTAAAACAACTTACCGGGTGGATTGAAAGACAGAGAAGTCACAGAAGCTCTTGTTGGTGCATGACCTCCTCGTTCATACGCAGAACTGATTGTATGACGACCACTATTTGGAATTGGAGGATTACTAGTGGTAGCAGTAGTATTAGATGGATAGTTTTCCGGCGGAAAATGTTGATTAATAGAATTGGATAAAGAAGGAGACGAAGGATTATTTGATAGATATGCACGTTTATTGTCAGAATCACTGCCTACTTCCACATATTCTCCACCATCACCATCTTCATCATTACTATCACCATGATTTGCATCATCCTCGTCGTCGTCATCATCATCATCATCATCATCACCAGTTTTCATTTCTAGTTTACTTCCATTGTCAGTCTTTTTCATATTTTCAACTTCATTGTCATCATCTCTTTTCGGAGCATAGTTCTGACCATTCGTAGTGACATTTATATTATTATTATTATTATTATTATTATTATTATTATTATTATTATTATTATTGTCAATAAATTGAGATTGTGCACTGAAAGCAATCATAGATTTAGCTATCATAGACGAATCTATTTTATCATGATGAAAACCATTTTTTAAGTAATTTTTGGGAAAATCATTATCTCCATTGCTTGCAGCTCGACAATGACCTGGTCGGCACAAAGTTTTAAATTGTGTTTCTTCCTAAAAATTAAAACAGATAGTTTAATTAAGAATTAGTAGTACAATAATTAATACAGGTTGTAGGTTTTTCATTGACCAAAGCATGGACTGATCTCAGCTGGACCAATCTTTAAAACTAGATGACCGTTCGGTCCTAGCATAGGACTCCTTTCCGGTACGACCCACGACCCAATAATCAAGAATAGAACTTAAGACCGTCAGTTTCAGGCTCAAACTCTTAACCTCTAGTCCAGTGAGACCGTGTTAATGTCGAAATTCAATTATTGCACGATACTGTGCCATCATCTTCTGTTACCTGAGTAGGTTACAGTCTCACACCTGACAAAGTTGAAATTTACTGGGCACGGCTTCTCACCAGAACTCCAGGAGTAGTATCTTAAACCCGGTCATTATTGTTACAGAGAGATATGTGGAGGTTGTGGAATTTAAATTGTTTAAATCGTGATCTGCTTGGACAATGTTGTGAAGTGACTGAAGTTAGAAACTAACACTGTTGGATGCCGTCTCGGTGAACTAAACGTTGAGCGTTCTCATGAGACTGAAGGTTCTCGGTTCAATTTCCGAATGAGGGTTGTGGATAAACACTGTTGAGAAGCTTCATACTATGACGAGACAGAAATGAACTGTTGAATTTTACTCCATTCAAAAAGCACCTTCATGGAAGCATTCATATACAGTACAGTGATGATTAAAAGCGTGAAAGAGATACGCTTGAATAACTAACTATATTAGCTTTTTAACTAGTAAGCTATCCATCCCATTTGGTTCACCAGGGTATCAGGTTCCTGTGTGGTTGCACCACGGGAGTGAGCCGAACTGTTCATGTCGAAATGCTAACACGTGAGCACTCTCCTTGGTTCTCCCAAAAATCAATGTAAAATTGCCCTTGAAAATAAAGGGTTAATTTACATATCCATCCCCATTGTTAATCACTGAATATTGATAACGAGCAGCAAGTTTTTGTTGTCAAAAACTAGCAATGAAGCTTTCCATTGTATTAATTTCAATAAAGCAGAGTTATTAATTATTGCAAGAGGATTTGAATTAACCCTTACTTTCGATTGAATAGATACACGATTAACAAACATGTGTGTTTAACTATTGAGCTGACGACTAATTGAGTTTCAATAGTTATCAAATAAATCAGGAACTGATTACCACATGCCATTAGGCTATTACGATTCTAATTACATTACTTTCTATGACCATGTATAAAAAACCTTTCAAGCTTTATTAAAACAATTAATATGCTATTTTCAACCTCAACCAATATAATTTTTGTCTAGGTTTATTTGATGATTAGCTTCAATTAAGATAAGTATGAACCTAAATAACTTTAATAAAATAAAAGGCAAAATATGAATTAATGTCTAGTCAATTATGATTGACAAAACAAGTGTTTTATTTCAAGTTTCAAATACTCTGCATTTAGTTTAACTTAGTCATCTAAATGGAAGTATTTGACTAGGACATATAAATGAACAGGTACACTTGTACATGCTTCACCTTAATTCCTTTATTCAAAAATGAAATATATTACTGTAGACCATTTATCGATAAATACTCATCAGCTATTCTGATGAGTATTCACAGCTTGTGAAACAATCAACTACTATGTAATGCCTGAAATATAGACAGGTTTCTAGGATTTACATAGCCCTACTGTCCAACAGTACTGACTTCAATCGTAAGAGATGATACAGTATGTTTAACACTAGAGATTTGTCACAATAGGGGAAATCGATTAGCTAAAGGTTACTACACATGATCTTCGCTCAGAGAGCCGAGATTACTGTTTAAATCAGAATGATTGATTGGCTAATATCAGTTTGTGATAATATTGTTTTCAAAAGTAATATTGTTTATTGTTACATACATTATACGTGTAAACGGGTATTTCCTTTCATCTTATGGACACAACAAAGAAAAACCACAGATAATCGATCGATCAAAAGCCGTAAACACTAAACAATGGAGACGAGAATGCGAAAAAATATATGGGAGATGAAGTAACAACGTATATGGACATATGATGATAAAGGAGTAGGTGTGCGTGTGTATTTCATTGGTACAGGTGAATACTTGTGTAACTACAAAGAAAAAAATGACCATAGATGTAAGTAGTTAAGAGAAATATAAATATAGGCAAGCAACCACAGACACATGTAAATGAATATTCATGGGCATGGACATGTGTGAGAAGCTAAATATTCGAGTAGACAAAAAGCAAATATTCATGAAAAGACTTTCTGCAAATCAACTGGGAACAAGTTAAAAATAATGAGAAGAACAAAATAAAATGTAAATGACGATTGAACATGGATAGAATGTATAATTTGATAAAAAAAAAACTATAAAATAAGCTACAAAACAAGTAGTAATGGATAATGGGTATTTAAGAAAAGTAATAAAGTGAAAATTTATGGAAAAAAACTTTGAAATCACAAATAGAAAAGCATGTACATGTGATTACAGAAACAGTAAAGCAGCTTTCTTTTAGACGTATTCATGTTATTTCCAATTAATTAGGGGAATGATATAACCGTGAAATTACACTAACTAAGAAACTATTGACAACTATGGAACATTGAACAACTGTTTGTAACTATCGCACTGTGCATTTACGGTCAGGAGAATAGGAGTGAACACGAAAACTTCAGGCCTCAAAGTGAGAATGATAGAAGTCAACCATTAATTGATAAGGGAATCGGAATGAGGATAAAATATGTGTCCAATGGCCCATCGGCTTTAAGGTCAATATGTAATGGGAATAACCTCATTAAGTAACTATCACACCAGTCACACGATTCAATCTTATAAAATAACTTAATGCGAATATACACTTGTTTACAAACGTGTCATTGATAAACGACTTAAAAGCATTGCCGGGAAATAAGAATGTGAATAAGTTGTGAAACAAGGCTTTCGTTTAATTTTGCTTCTATTATTCTTGTAGAAGCGATGAATGTCAACTACTCGGAGATCTGCAAAAGCTTTTGTGCTACCACTTTAGTAGGAGTCCATTTTTAGCTACAATTATTTTCCTGTTTTAGATATGGTTCAATCAATCAGTTAAGTTCATCGACGAACCTTCATTAAATGTTAGTAACCTATTGAAAATTGTATTACTAAAAACACTGAAGGAGTATTGCCATAGTGGTCTGTGGTAGTCCATTCTCCTCTGTATTTTGGAAGGAGTTGAGGCGATTACTATAGAACTTATATACTAAATATATTCCGCGATGAAAAAATATTTAATGGGAGCAAGAACCACTGTAAACAATTGTGTATGCATCTCAGTATCAGTTAATTACTAATTAAAAGCTTATTGTTAAAGTGATCACAGAGTCATTAAACTTTCGTGAAAATCCTACTAGTAACGTTAACCATGGGTGCTATTTTTTAATTTGATTCATTGCATAGCCTTTATTTTTTTGTGATTAATTGGCTTTACTTTATTTTCGCCAATTTTTTTATTTAAAGATCATGCTTCTGTTCTGATAGATAGTGAGTTAGTGATTTCGATTCACTCCGCTTATCATTCTATACTTTATCCTCTTAATGTTTTTGCTGCTGAAGTGTTGTGTGTCATCCACCGTTATAGAGTCCGAAATAGATTCATTTGCACAGCTGTTGAGTTTCATAACAAGACGAAACGGTTGTCCAGTGCTTCCAGGTTTCTAATAGCGGTCTAACAATCATTTATTCATGATTTTAAGGCGATACATGAGTTTCAAAGTCGAAGTGGATCTAATGGGCTTCAAATCTGTGGCCTATTGATTAAAAGCAGAGTGATTTAATCACTTCGAAACGATATAATACACTAGCTTACCTACATACAGCCCAATATTTGCTCCGGCCTTTTCGAAAAACACATATACCCTCTTTCCTTATATACTAACAAGCAGTTTGACAAAATGACAATCTGAACTAATTATTCATTTACTTTTCGTGCCAATCTCACAAATGTTATTTCCTTCGTATTTATCAAACACGAAAGAGATATGTTTGTTTTGCATGTTAAAACTATTCAGAAATGGATAAGAAATGCAAGTAAAAAACATAAAATGAAATAACAATAAAAGAGGTAATTAGCATAGTTTTGCATAAACTTTCTTTGAGCCTAAATCGCTTTGTATTATACTTTAACTAATATGAACAATATTAGGGACGGGAACAGATTAACCAATACTAATAATATATGTATATATATACAAAGTTATCATTTAGAGAAAAACAAGACCAAGGTTCTTAGTTATGTATTTAGAATAACACTCCATATATATATATATATATATATATATATATATATATATATATATATATATATAAATGACCTTCGGGTATGACAATGAATCTGACATTAAAATACTAGCAAACTAGTTTACTTGGATACATTTAATTTGAAACGTTTATGCGAATCAGTTCACACTAACAAGTAAAATATGTTCCTCAGAGTAGATTATTACGAAATTTATTGAGAGAAAAGTTTTCCTAACGAGAAAATGATGTTTGCTGTTTAAAACAAGACTATAGGTTAATAGTCGAAGGACTTAAAACTCAATCAAAGTTTTATGATTTCTCACTTCGGTTCAGATTTTTCACTAAGTGCAATTGAATGCCCCAAGTGTGAAACGGTATACGGTTATGGACTAGGATACATTTTAAAAACAATCACTTGGTCATTCAGTTGAAAACGGTAGACAAATATAAACAAACACAACCCAGCCATTCTTGACAAGTTTATGTTGCCCCATAGGATATAGTTCTTGTACAAAGACTCACCGTACTACTTGACTGTAAAAACTTGTATTGTGTAATCGTTTTTAACTTGTCACTTAAGCATATGCTTATGCCAGAACTTTCAGTTTTTTGGTTGACTGTAACATGCTTGGATCAGAAGGACATGGGCCAACAACTCAAGAGCATATTGGTTAAGAGCTTTCAGTAAGGAGTTCGAATTGATATGGTTTGAAAACATCATTTTGAACAATAAAAATAAATCAACAATCATATAGTATATAAAGTTAGGGTTAGATTATCAAGTCATAATTTCTATATTATAAAGAAACCAACAGTTCATTGCAACAAATTTTAAGAAAATATCACAATTTAAGGTCAGTTGTATGTTGTGTAAAATAACAGTAGCATTTACCATTACTATTATACTACGAATGGTAGTAGTAGTAGTAGTAGTAGTAGTATTAGTAATAGTAATAGTAATCAGTGGTGGTAATAAGTTAATGTCCTCAAATAAAAATGAAAAAATATTTATACAACACCCAAAGTTTATTCAACTAATCTTTTTAGCAGAAGTAATTACCAGTTAGCGGCGAGTGTAAATACAGTGAACTTTTGAAATGTTGTGAGAACTTTCAACGAAATATCTTGATATAAGTTCTCAGTTAATTTTGAAAGTAATATAGGAATTTTGCAAGCAATAATTAAGATATTTGTAAAGAGAAGAAAAATAGACATTCCATAATCTTTAGAAACTAAAACGTTTATGAGAAATTTCCTTTACTTGTTTCATGAATACTATATCATCATCTCTTACTTATTAGGATATGTGCAGTATACGAAATTTTTATGAAACTTAACACGTACTGTTCTAAATTAACTCATTCATTAGGCATCTGGGTGTGATTAGCTCTCTAAGTATCAGTCAGTCAGTTAGAACGAAGAACTTTGTACGTACGTACATAAGTTCTTCGTTGCCATACCACATTAGCACAGAGACGCAACTGTCAGTTCAAATCCCATATTGACCCCTAGGACCTAATAGCTGGAATTCCAACAACTTAACTACACAGTTATCACGTAAAGATCAAGAGTTATGTGACAATCAATAATGTTTATTTGATTCGATGAAGTCTTTGATTCGATTCCAGCGCTCTGCATGATATAGGAAGACGTTGTTAGCCAACTTAAAGATCAGCTAAAATCAAATTCAATTCATTCCCTAAAATTGTACAACTATATTTCTGGTGGCTTAATAAATGAGTCAATAGGATAGTAGAAACAGATCGTTGAGAATGATTTTTAATTTGATTGATTTACCTTTATATTTTAAACAGTGATAATGGGAATTCTTTAATATATTTTGTTGGAAAGCTTCATTATTGTAGCACAAAAAAAAAACAACTGTCTCATAATTAACAACAAGTGAATTACTGAATCTACTTACTAACATAATGTATTTAAAATCAGACCGTTTGTCGTTATGGTCTCTGTATTCAGAACCATCATTATATATACATACATGTTGTATCTATTAGCAGTGACTAAACAGCTCGGGATTATACTATTCAATACCTATTCAGTCATCAATATCTAAATAATGTATCAACTGTACAGATACACACACACATTAATATATTACCAATACATAAGAATCGAGTTGAATTTTGTGCCAGATGAAAGTGTTAGTGAGAATTTTTAGAATAAAATAATAAAAAAAATGAATTTTTCAATTTTAGAAAAACATCAATAATCTTTGGTATGATCATCATAAAATTGTTTTGCATTTCTTTTTTCTAAAAAGTGACCATCACATTTCATATATATATATATGATTTATTATTATGATGATGATTATATGATTTGTTTTCTTCTTTTACACGGTAAAATAACATTTCTGAAAAACGTTCAACCTAAAAAGTTACAGGAATTGTAGAAATATTTATCATGAACTTTCAAATTTCTCTTTTTCATTGATTTGACAGACAGAGTGAAAATTACTAGGCTATCCATGTAAGTATTCACATGATCGCTCTCATTTATGTTTACCGTAGTTAAATAGTTTGTACACTGAGATTAGTAATACAGTCAAAAATTCAGACTTTTTAAAACTGTAAATTTTTTTTAAATAGGTTCAGACAAAAAACAATTAAAACGACAAAGAAAATTGTGAACAGTTGTCAGGCAATTCATGAATTCAGTAAACAAGTGGAAAGAATACAATTTTTGTTAAATTGAAGTCTGAAAGGTCATTTCCGAAATGTCGATGATTGTAATAAAGAGGTGTTATTGAAATAAACTAAATTTACAAGGTAAGAAGAATCGGGATAGTAGGTACCTTTTTTGTTTTAAACTAATTTCTAACTTCGTCAAACCTGCCTAAGTCTGAGGAGTTAGGAAATGTCACTGGCTAATACATATATAGTGTCTTAAATCAGAGGATATGAACCGGAGCTTGACAAGCAAATTACATTAATTAAATGCCCATACCGGACTAGTGAATCTTCAGCATTACTTGTTACCAAATGTTCGAAAAATATCCGATTGTCAACCAAAACTATAAAACTTGATATTGATAATGTAGTCAGTAAATTTTTTACATGGCCCTAAAGTTATCGACAAATTTATCTAACCAGTCACAAATCGTATTTTTTTGCTAACTTGGCTTAAAACAATTCAAACAATAAATTCTAGGTGAAATTATTTAGTTAACCAACAAAGCAGTTTCTGAAAACACAATCGTTTAAGGACTCACAGGATCAGAATGTGGTATGTTTGTATTTGACATTCCAGTAGAATATGTAGAATTTGCATTGCCACTTCCTGAGGCTACACTATCCACAGAAATAATACTAGATTCACGACTGCCCAAATGAGCAACATTACTACGTGTAGGAGACAAAAGAGATGGACAATTGCTTCCCCCACTACCACTATGTGAACTGGCTCCACAGAGAGAAATATCGGCGCTATCACACACAGAATTGCATCGACCAACCGCATGTGAGTTACGGCAAATTTGATATTGTAACATCATGTCGGCACCATGACAGCTAGACTCTGTGTCGCTTGAATTGACAACGCTTCGATTACCATTAGTCATGAACAAACCTCCTAAAACTTCATTGATATTGCTCATCTTATCTCCACTATCTGGTACGAAAACCGACATAATTTTACTGCTACCTCGAGAAGCAGAAATATCACGTCGTCCCATTCTTAGTACAATAGACTCTACGTCCTCAGCCAACTGATCCGGAAACTCAGTTTCTTTTGTTAGAGTCTTAATAAGTTCATCCATAGTGGCTATTTCATTTAACATACTTGATTGACACTCCTAAAGAATAAAAGAAAACGACAATTTTAAATTCTAAAAATAAAGGTCCCCATCTAAGCCTTCATAATTAATATTTAATAATTAAACGCTGTACTGCTAATATATGTGGTTTTGTGTTTTCGCATGCTATATCGAAAATACGTGGTACATTACACTATTCAGCTGCAAAGTTAAAGGTGAAGATTTGAACCCTATCTAATTAACCAGCGTTATGAAAGGCAAGAAGCAGCATCAGCATTAACGAGAATTGCGCTTTTCAGCTTAGTATTAAATCTTATAGGCTGTTACTAACTGATAGTTTTACCTAGTTATTAGATGATTTTTTTCCTGAGAAGTGTCCGCATCTTATATAATCAGGAGAGCAATAAATTACCAGAAACAATAAGCCCAATTTCTAATTAAATTTATTGTGTATAGTAAAAGAGTTTTGAATATTTCCCACAGCACAACTTAATTCGGATGGTGAAAAAAAGGACGCAGTAAGCGCGGCAGCCACTAATTACAGCGTAACGCAAATACTCATCTGCCGATTATCCTGTTCAGTTATTTGAAACAAGACTATAAAATGTTTATGCTTAGGTGTAAAAAAGTAAATAGGAAAACTGAGACAGAAGCAGTATCCATACGTAATTAAATTATGCGTTAATTAATACACCAAGCAAATAGGAAAATATATAAAACGACCCTTCTAGAATTGGCTTCATTCTTCTTAAAAATTCGGAATAAACCTACATTGGTAAGCTATTTTTATTGATATTCTACAAACAAATGCAATTCAGATTTTCAGCATTAAAATATGTTGAAATACAAAGCTATCCTCTATTTCTAATTTTATCTGTTGATGTATGAATGAAAATATATATTACAACCAACCAAACAACATGATTTTAATTTTTCAATCTATCAGTTAGTAAGCGTCAGAAGTAAGCCTGAATAAGTCACGAATGATAAAACCCGAACATTCCAAAACAACAAAAATGGTACCATCACCAAGCTTAGATAATTGGAATTTCACTTACAAGTATTGGAAGAAGACAAGAGACGAAAAAACAAAACCTGCTTCGTTCCTCAAGTAGCAACAAACGAATAGCAGATTTCTCGGTGTTTTCAACTAATTCTTTCTTGATTCCAACTTCACGAGTAGCCTTGGCAGTTTGTACACTAATTGCATTCAATTCAGAATTGGAGCACGCAAGGTTTGCCGAAGGTATGATACCGTGGCCTACACCAGGTCCCACACCACTTCCACTAGTAACACCGACTTTAGAGGCCTTCTTCTCCCACTTTTGTGCTTCAGATAAAGCTTTCTTCAATTCTGCACGAACCCTTTTAGTTTGACGATTTCGGTCCTTCTCTAACTGACACAAATTACGTCTCCATTCATCTACTTTTGAATTGAGAGGGTTGGCAAGACTAGTGACCAAATGACTAAATTACGAAAAATTGGATAAAAATGTGATAGATATGAAGGCATGATAACATTAATATTGTCCTAGGGTCTACTTATAACACAAACTACTAGGGAAACAAAAGGTTAAGAACAAATATTCGTTAAAATAGTGCATTTCATTCATGGAGGACAGAGTAAAATACCATTTTGATTAAATAAACCAGAAATTTCGTTTGAAAGCACTAAATTTTATTAGAAGACTATGTTTATATTACAACCGACTGCAGAAGTATAGCTCTGCAGGAAAAAGCTACAATCTGTTCCAAAATGTTACCACGTTGTGTGATAAGATATTCGTTAAACACTCGTTCAAACTTACCGACCTCCTAAATGATCCTACCAATTATTTTTCAACTAACAATATATTGTTTAGTCAATGAGGTCATTTAATCAGCCGAAAATATCAGTCTGAAGGGCGAGAAAAAACCCATATATTTAGGCATTTTAAAGTATGATGGATTCTCGATGCGAAGAATACAACCATACATATAAGCGGAGAATATTGTTTTCAGTTTGACCATCGGGCTTCACTCTAATATACACGAATGTTTACGAGAAAATACTAAACCAACCAGGACTATTTATGGGTGAATGGTCATAACCAAATAGATTACACAACTATACATAGTAAGTACAAGTGAGACGGGGTAATAGAAAGATAGGTGTACTATTAGAGGTACAAATATTGTAACTAGTTTAAGTCATGATTAAGAATGAAAGTAGTAGGTTAAACTTGGATAAACAGACGTAATATAATAATAAATAAATTGCCTTGATAAGTTTTATATTTTCACATAAATATCCAGGTGTACAGGAGTAGAACCTGATGACAGTCGACTTGAAAACAATATTGTTTGGTCACATACGCATTCGTTAGGAGTATAAAAGTACAGGCTGACAGATCACAATAATATTTCGCAAATCATTAAACTGACAATTCCCAAAAATAATAATATTCAGTGGTGACTAAAATACATTTCGAAAATTAACAGTAACACGGTCGATAATGAGGTACTTTTCGTTTGGATCAGGAGGAAAAGGCTAAGACCAGGAATTAAATGTCATAACTATGTTTAATTGACTAAAAGAATTGAACTATAAATTAATTTTCTGACATCGTAAAAAATTCTGTTTGGATGAGGGCTAGATAGCAAGTTGGACAAGACTTACTTGCTCATGGATTTTACTTTGGACTCTAGGCTTTTTTGGCGCATACAGTAACGGGTCAGACAAGCACCAATTTCTTTGCTACCTCCAAACGTCTTGGTAGCAAGGTCCGCTACCTTTTGAAATGTGTCCAAAAACGCAGACGATGCCTGGGTGGCGACCCTAAGAAGAGTTTGATTCAAAATAAGAGATTTACTTTAGAGCTGAGTGAAATTTGGTACATTTTGAAACTAGGTCTTCCCAGATCTGATAGCTATTCTGTAAATAATTGATGAATATAATACAGTAAATAAACCTTTAAATCATTCAACAAATAATTCGCGATATTTACAACATCATCACCGTGTACTTGCGGATTATCCATCAAGGTTTAGGATAAAAAGACTACGCCTTCTTAGAGAAGATAACCATCTTAGAGTAGTTCTCAAGTCAGGCGGCAAACGCACATGTGACCTACAGGAATGGTCAACAGTGTATTTTAAAAACCTGCCATGTGAAAAGAAATAAATAGTAACTGACATTAAAACACATAACTATTATTTAAATACCTCTCTGAATTCCAAAACTATCAATCTGAAGTGATTATGAACTTTGGTCATACTAGACTTTCTTCCCGATGAATAAATCATGGCAGGCAAAACAGTGCTCGGCAACCCTATTCTGAATGCTCTTAAGTCTGATCTTCATCATCTCTACCTGTTTGAGGAACCTAGTTTCGCTTCCTAATATATGAAATATTGATTCATAGGTCATTATTAGCCTAAAACAATAAATTATAAGCTCATGATAATTGTGATTAAATATAATGGTTTAATTTCGGTGACTCGTACGAAGGCACTTTTATTCAACACATCTAAAAAATTTTCCGAAACAGCTGCCAGGCCTTTTCAGGGGTCTATAAGCAGAATGAGAACTTTAATTTCTCTGAAGTGGTTGAAAACAATACTTTCAAACCTGGTTAGGAAGTTGCTATCGGCGAACGGACTCGTCCGAATCGGTTTAAGAACTTCCGATCGATAGCAAGTAGTTTTCAAGAAAGAGTCATATGAACCATAGTAAGGGTAATATATGAAACAAAGGAAGAGGTTTACGTGTCAGATCCCAAGTCATCGATGTCTTTTGAACGAATATCTGCCACATTTTTGAATTCACTTTTATTAGTCTTGCACTCAGAGTCTCGTAGGAATCCTTTCGGAAGGTTTATAATCCATTAGCCAAAAGATGTCACAGATATTTAGAACTAGACGACGGTTTTGTCCCTACTTCTGACAACAGCAAGTTTCAGAAGACTACGTCAGTAAATTAAGAATATTTTATGGTAAAATGATACTGTAAGGAATTAGCTAAATATAATATAGATCTGGGCAGTGCGAAAATCTGTTAATTTGATGGTATTTAAAAAAAGAAAACAAAAGGAGCTCAGTATCTCTTATGACCTTGAAAAACGTGAAGGTTATAAATATGGCTTATAAATAGGGTGGAGGCATCAGAGCTGCATGTGAAAGATTTGGTGTTAGAAGCAGGAAAAATGAGCTATAGGGTGGATTGATACTACATTTTAAGCAATGTTTGAATGCTTGTTATGCGAAAAAAAACGGTATTTTTATCAGTAGGTCAAACATGTTGCTATCAGTGTGACTATTTTCAGTCAAACAGTCTAGAGAAAAATTAAGGATAGAAAGAACATTATACTGTGAAAAGTTACAGGGTTAACTTGGTGTAGAATATTGTTGTCGTAATGTTCTGATTCCAATCGTCGTCTGTAGTGATAAAGGTGCTTCAAAAGTGAACATCGGAAGTGCAGCTTGATTATTAATTTAACTAGCCAAAACATGAAACTATAAATTGAGATTCAAAAAGTTGAAAGTTCAGGGATACCTCTCACCAATCATTAGTTTTTAGTGTGAAGTGAGATCTAGGAGGTCTATATCAACGTTCGGAAGGCTGGGGTAATGGGCAAAGAAGTTCGGGGTCTGGGAAAAACAAATAAATCTAATAAAATAGTTAAAAACTATTATGTTCGTCACTAAGTATGCTTGAAGCTATTACGAGTTTACCTTGGTCGGTAAACGAGAACGACACTTTTGCCAGCGTCCAGGTAGGCTACTTTGAATCCGGAGAACAAAGGCTATGTAAGCGTAGAAGTATATTCTACAAACACCCAGCAATCACAGTACAAACAAGGATATAACTCTCGTTTATTTATACATCATAGAAACGTCCTTGGGACAGTTAAGAAAATAGCATGCTAAAATACACGGCAGCCAATCACGGCCATGGAATTTTCCTGGTGGGAATCGAAATCTCAAGGTCAACTGATCAGCCCATGCTGGCAAACGTAGGATCCAAAATAAGGCATTTAACAAGCGAGTTTTAGGGATCTAACATCCCCAACATATGCATGATCACAATTGGTAGTTGAGTAGCTTCAGGTCTAATTTCAGATGTCAAAAATATCATCTAGATTCACTGTATCTTTTTCAGTCTTGTGAGGCTCATATTAGACCCAAAATCCTCTTTACTGGGTGAAGGAATTCTCAGGAGCTCCTCTATCTGGTCAACAGATGAAAACATTCCCTCAACAGAAATGTTTTGTAACCAAAAAAGCCATCTGAAACTGATGAGAAAGTTTAGATTATCGCAGCACAGGTTAAGTATTTACGAACTAGTCGATTTCGCCATACAGAAATAAAACATTACATTTAGAGTGTGTATTTACTTCATCACTTTATCTAGGCATCATATTTTATCATATCGAACACTAATTGTTGAAGGATTTGTTTCTTTTTATCGTTACCTCCTTCTGCTGAACGAGATCTTAACAAAGACCTACTACAACCACGTTCTGGCTTTTAATATAATTGGAGTTCGGTGTAATAATATACGGCTAAACAGGATGAAGAGGTTTTTCTAAATATGCCTTCATTTAAAGTTTGTCAAGAAGGAGCTCTCATATTCATAACGATATTTCTGCTCTCAAACCATATTCCACTTCAAAATTGTGAAACCGTTCATCTAATCTTTGTCCGCCATTCAGATTTTCATGTTTACGAACTGACTTTTTGGAATTTTTCTCGGACTTTATATTATAAGAGTTAAAAACTAGGTTTCGGGCAACCATCGGACCCTTAAAACCTCTTCGCTACTGAGAGGAACAACCAATGTGGTTAGGTCAGCTTTATCACTGAAGAACCAAACTTCGATGCTATCCAGTCAGAGAGTTATGGGCATTAAGATAATGTATGGGGGTTTCCTAAATCTTATAACTTAAGCTGTGTGTTCAAACGTTCCATGAATAAAATATACATGCGTAAGAGGACAAATAGGATAATAACAACACACTTACATTGAGGCCGACCTCATTAGTTTTATTTGACAAACCATAGCTGAGGACTCTTGGTTCTGTATCCGTGCTAGATAACCATTGGGTACGCAAAGCTGCATATCCTCCTCAATCACTAGCCAGTTTATATTACTTCCTTTTCGATAAATCAACTGTCTTCCAAATATATCTTCGAAATCCCTCATACCCAAATTCCTATTAGACTGAACTTATGATCTTAGATAGGAAGAATGTGATACAGACAAAAAAGAAACAAGGCACTAAATATTTATGACATCTTTATTCATGAAACTACAACGCAGAACGAGATTCAGTACAGCGTTGTTATGGCAGATCACGTCTTGTCCATTAGTAATTATGTCACTGGTACGGTTCGTGACAAAGCTGTTACCAGTAACTTATGCTCACAGAATGAACCGAAAGGCAATCAAAGCAAAAGGCGAGGATGAAGGGCTGAGTGAAAATATTTAAATAATTATCACTGCTCTGAAGCGCATTCAATCCGAGGTTGTCACTTGTTATGAGAAATGTGCAGTAATGTATACTGAAATTTGATATTGCGTGAATGCTAAACTGAACGCCCTCAGCTCTGTAACACCAGTAGTTGCGCCCTAAATTTCGCAGAGTTTCATAAGAGTTGATTTCGGTGATTTATGTACCACCACATATGTATTTCATTAATGTGGGGTTACGTATACAATTCCTTTAGCTAGACAAGAGCCTCCCACTGATATTTAGTAAATGTTTATGGCTTTTGGCAACATAGGCTGTGCAGTGTTTAGAGTAGCGTTACACAAGATCATCGAGGGTTAACAGTATTGGCGCGCTTCCAGTTTGACGTGCCCTTGCTGATTTTCTTCCATTTAAGGGAAAAAATCCATTTTCGGGATACTTTATCACCCCCTAAGCTATAAAAAGGTTATCTCCATTCACTAGTCGACAATCTGAAAACAATTTCGGGCAAACGGAATCATTCCAAGTCAGAACCATTGTGCAGTAGGTCTAGCTGCCTCGTTCAACTGCTCTTTTTCTAGTTGATTCGGCAGTATACATACATTCACTCACTCAAAAACACACGACTTGTGTACAAGTCACTGGATACATGCAAAGTTACACACTAATACGGTCAAAGGCATAGTTAAAATTTTGGAGTACTTTCAGGCTCTATTCATTATAGTTATATCATACAATGCTAAATTTTTGTTTCCTAAATCCATTTTTTGTGTGTCTCGCATCTTAATTATCTTGGTTTTCACCTCTTAATCTCTCTGGTATCATGTTAGGTACTAAGGTTGCTAGCACATCTTTCACGATAATAACCAGGAAAACCTGTAGAAGCGTAAACCCCGGTTAGTTAAAACACCCAAACCGTCAGTCGATAGCATCCCTCTTAGTGTCCATACTTTCGATCACTCAACGCAAACACCACAAGGTCCCAAACAAAGGGATCAAGACACCAGTCCTCCTTTTGCTAAAAAGACCAGTAAACTAGCTAAGAATAGGAGAAAAAAGGCGTTCCAAGGCTCAGTCAACACAATTCGACATCCAGAAACCGCATAAGGATGACCGTTTCTCTTGCTCATTACCAGTAAAAATCAGTGACTGAGCTTTTGAATGCAACTTCTGCAGTACATGGGTACATTGCCACTGCGACACTACAGTACCTAAAGAGAACTACGGATTCATGCAGGGACGCCACAATGAACGCACAAATCTGAGAGTTGACCTCGGTCGACTACCCCTTGCACAAGACACAATTAAACTCACTGCAGAGGCAAGAAACCTGTATAGGCCAGTTCTCACAGAACTAGACAACTCGGTTTGAATAACTTGTTTGAAAATCCGACAACGGCTGCCGAGACAAACCACCAAGAGCCTCTTTAGCAACGTAAGAGGACTAAGAAGTAAGCTGTTATAAATCAGAAATACATGCTCTCAAATGGATCCGAAGATCATAATCCCTACTGAAACATGGCTATCCCCTGATATTGCAGACGAAGCAGTGACCTTGCTAGGCATGACACTCATCCGAAGCGATAGGGTACACGAAACTGGAGGCGGAGTGGCTATATATAAACAGCCACTT